AAACATTAATCCCTGAGAAGAAGGACACTAAATCAGGGATACAGTTTCTGAAAAACGTCTTGCCATGGTCACAAAGTTTATACAGATCGCTTTCAATTATAAAGGGACCAGAGGCTTTTGCTTTTGCTTTTATTCCTGCGAACGAGAAGAGCTGCAATGACGTAATATGACGAATAGAAATCCTTTTTTTATAGGAGAAAAGCAAATTTTGAAAAACATTCATTTGCTGTCAAAACTCGGTTGCAATGTTAACGTCAACGTTGACGCACACGTCAAGACGACTTTAAAATGTTTTCGGACATTTTTTTTAGGAAAAGTCGCTACGTTTGGTGATCATAGCCTGATTGGCCTTGAAGTTATTCAACGTTTTAGCGAGAGAGAGGGTCTGAATAGGGTTAAATTAAAATACAATTTAGAGTTTTTACTAATTATTTATAATTGCAGTTACTGTATTTTCAACATTTTGTAACGCGAAATTCTTACTACTTTAGCTCAACGACAATGATCATCGTATATTATTTTGTATTTTCTTATTTTTGAAGAAATAGACTAGACTTCACTTTGCTACTGTACAGTACTACTTTACAATAAATTTAACAAATAAATTATTAATATTTTGACCACAACCAATTGCAGATTTGTCGTTTCTAAGGGCTGAGTCTGGATAAACTGGGTTACCACAGGCCTTGAAACTACAAAACTAAAAATAACTGTTCATGTTTCAATTTTGCCAGAGAGTGTATTAATATAACTGTTTAGCGCGAAGCCGCCCAAGATTACCTCGGCTTCGTTTTGGGATGACCACTATGCCCTTGTTATATTAAAAGCCTTTTTCATCTTAAGCTATCACGAAAAAACATAGTTAGAGCTCTACCATTTAAATCAAGACAGGCTGACTGAGGACTAGTGCTCGAAGGTTACTTTATCAACTCACAGGTGATAGCCAAGGGCCTCAAGGTAGTCATTTTAACCAGTAGGAGTTAAGTTGACTGATCGAGATGATGGCATTTGGCATGATATAGTTTATCAAAAATTAACTGTAGTTAGCTCTTTGTGAGTATTTGTTTAGACGATTCGTTGAAAAGTGCTCTTGAAGCTGAGGGCATTTGTGATTCTAAGAGCATTACTCAAAGACATGTAACGAAGTAGTTTTTGTCTTCGATGATTACACGAGCCAGCACAGAGATTTTAGGATCTGGGAGACGTTAATCGACATTGGCAGTAAAACTTCGAAACCATCAAGAAGTTAACGGTACCTTAATTCCATCATTACGCTGCTTGTGCTCTTCTGTTTTGACAATTCTATAACCTGAAGAGAAAAAAGAACAATTTATAAAATAATTTATAAGCCTCCCTGAGGTGTAAAAAGTATCGTATCAGACAAGAAAAAAAATGTGTACCTTTTCAGAAAAGAGCTGGCTTAAAAAGCCCTTACAAAACAACACCAAATATAACAGGAGGTAGACTTGAACCTTTTCCTATGGCCTTCTTTTATAGCTAGTACTCAGTGTGGTTTGAGAAGGATATGGCCGTATAATTTCCTTTTATGCTGTTTTGGAAGTCATTATCTAATCTACTACTTATGCTGTGGTCAAAAAATTACTGCTTTGTCATGACAGCAGCAGTCATTCAAAACTTAACACCGGTTCATGCGGAAAAAAAGAAAAGGTTTTAACTGTTTAAAGTTGATATTAGTCGTAGTGGTATTTAACAACGTAAATGATGACTTTCGTAGAGAGAGAGAACACAATTAAAGAACTGTCATTTTCCGTTGCACTGATCAACCATAACGTAAGGTGATGACTTTATGGAAATGTCGGTGAACATGCCATTGCTGACCGGCAAACTTATTTCTATAATCAAGATTTATAAGCTTGTGAAACTGAATTGCACAGAAGGCACAGTTGATTTCAGCACATCTTTGCGATTTACCGTAGACAGAAATTAAAGTTGAATAACTCAAACACATCTAGGCTGCAGATCATTGCAGTGATGTAGTTACTTAAAACCTTGAACTTCGAACTAGTGCTTATGAACCTTAATATTGGACTCTAAACAACAGCATAACTCGCTGGAAAATGAGGCGATCACAGGGTTAATGATAAGCCGATCGTCGATCTTTTCCCGTCTCCAATGTGGCTTTTCTTTAGCTTTAAGCTTGTTGGATCGATTCCGTGCATGTCATGTATTGAAGGTCGAGAGACCGAAGCCGGATAACTTTGCAAAGTCATTACAAATAAAAAGACACACTCAGTACTATCTTAACCTTTCCTTAGGCTGCTCGGTAGAAAGGGACAACTCCCGTAAAAGAGCGCGCTATGGGTTGAACTGATGTTGCAAAATCTAATGGCTCAAACTGATTCGATATTTATGTGCGACACTAAGGCATTTTTGGTCCAGCTGAAAATGCTAAAAATGCCAAAAACGTGTAATGTATTAAAATAAGCTCACGTGTCTTAAGGGTTCTCTGACAAATAAAAGCTACAAGACATCCAATTCTTCTGGCCCCCACATAAGTCAACCCCCCCCAATAGTAATTCACCTAAAAAACAAACAAACAAATTACGGTTATCCGCAATCAGCATTCCATTATCGTAAACCATTATCAGCTCCTAACCCCTGACTAAACATTATCCACTCGGTAAGAATTCCGATGAAAAAGGACTGTTCAGGCCAAATGCTTCTTGTACTCATGTTCTTGAATTTTAACTCTACAGTACGTCAAGCCTCATCTTAAGGGCAACCTCTCATATAGTTCAAACAGTGCTTATCTCTAAGTCACATATAAACAGTTCTACCTCTATAACGGAGCTAGGATGAGTAACACAAACAAATGGAAAATTTATACAAACAAACCATGTTGTAAAACAAAATATAGTACAATCAATATATCATCAATACAGACGCCAAAGCTAGGTTCAAACCCACAGTAAAAAGTAACCGCTTTATAGAGTAACTCAATATCGTAAAGGTAGCTTGGTTATTGTCTTGGGTTGTAGAATGTGACATTTAAAACACTAGTAAAAAATACATATTCCAAACCGGTGTGATAAAATTCATTTTCACGGTAGGTTTGGCGTTTAAAAATTTGGGAAGGGGGGAAGACGAATCAAAGGCATTGTAGTCTTAAAGTCGTTTAATTCAGTCAAACAACACGTGCACAGGCTAAGATTATAGATTGAAAAGTGCAGTATAAATCCCGACAAAAACAAACACTGCTCTCTAAAAGGTGATTATTTTCAACGTCGAGTCGTATTCAGTTTATTCAGTGCAGGTTTATTCTTGGTTTATTGTCTACTGCATAGCTTAATATAACAAATATCAAGACGTGAAATGTTACTGATGTTTGGTAATTTCACCTCCTCCATCAACCTGGGTCGTCTAAATTACTTTTGTTTTTCGGCTAGCCTTGTAAAGCTTCTTGAGGGATAGGCAATTCAGGGTTGCTAGGTGCAATATTTTTGGTTCATTGTTAGCTGTTTTAATATATTGTTAAAACCGGACGTACTTTACGAAAAGCAAAGTTCCCGCTCAAAATTAGCACAATATCGTATACTGAATTATGAACCAGGAAACCGACTTTAGGAAATGTTTGTAGTGAGTCAGCCAATTTCTGTAAAAAAAAGAATGAGTCAGCTTGATTTACTAATCACAGCTCTCTGTTTAAGTGTTTGTTGTGAAAAGTAAATCTATCACTAGAAACCTGAGACGTTATCATTATGAAGAACCTCTACGCTAATGATTCAGAATTTTATATCGTTTTCTTTATTCAGCCCAAGTTACTGGTGTTGCATGTAAAACCTATGTTCATCTTATTTAAGCGAACCCTTTCAAGTGAGCTGGGAAGAGACAAAATCAGAAATAATCAAAAAAACTAAAAATCGCCTTTTGCCGATTTTTTTCGCCTGATTTTACACTAAACAGCCAGATTTGGTTGTTTTATGCTGAAAAGTGGATTTTTCTTAAAAAGCTTCTGAATCAGGAACTTTGCTTAAGCCATTCGCCCCTGGAGATTTTACAGAAAACGCGTCTTGAAGCTAGTCGAGCGGTTTTCTAGTCACTGTCTTGCTATAAAGAGCGAATAATTACCAAAGAACGGCCTTCTGATGTAGATGCAAAATATTAGCTTGCAAAGTTTGGGCATGCGCAGAAAGCAAAATTTCGAGATTTAATTGGGTTTTAAAGTGACACAGCAGTCTAGACTTTTACTTTTAAATTTTTGCTTTCTGTCGTTCCCTCTTTTTTCGCTTTTCTTGCCTCATTTTTTCTCTTGCTGGACATTTATGTCGGGCTTCATTTTGGTGGGAAAAATTTTAGAAAAGCTTTTAGGATCCTAGGATTTATAGATGAAAGGAAAGGTCTGGGTAGTGGAACAAGATTTTCATGGAAATTTTCAGGTCAATGTTACATATTTTCTTGCCTTTTTCTCTGGTGTCCTTGACTGAATTGTGTTCATTCTGCTATGGTTTGAAAGATCTTCACTTTGCACAAGTTAGCGGACAAAGTTGTCCTTGACCATTAAAACTGATGACGTCACAGGTGGTAGAAAGGACGTGGATCCGCACTGACAGTTACTGGCGGCTCAGGGGCGAATGGGTTAATAACTAAGTTGGAAGGGGACGGTAACTCTACAGATGAACACATCCTGAGTGGTGATTTGCCTCAACCGCCACAAATTTTGAAATACAAAAGAAAACATAATAATACATCTGGACTGGACTTTGCGAGATTAAACGGTCTTAACGGCCCGTAGATTTTAACTTTCTTGGTATTTAATTGTCACGCCACAAGCGGCAAACTGAGTTAACGTGTAAACTGAAACCAGTTCTTAATCCAAACAGTAATAATGATAGACAGAATGAGTACCAAAGGTCCTCCCTTTTTCAACTTTGCATGAAGCACAAAAAAACAAAGTCTAGAATTTCAACTCAAATTATATATAATCTCTAAATGATATTCAATCTTTTTCAGTCTTAAGTCAGTTCTCAGGGAAAGCGAGCATGGCGTCAACTCGCCCTTCACCAAACCTCTCAACTTTTGTGTCATGTCTTCATCTAATTTTTACGCTTGCCTCAGTTGCTTTTCTTTCGTACAAAGTTTATTACCTTGAATATGAGCTCTCTTTAATTCGGGGAAAAGAATCTTTAAGTGATGGCCGCATAAGCGTGACTGAAGCGACTCCTCTGTCTCCGATTCCGAACGGTGAAGAGCTCAGAAGTGGACGGAATCGCAGAGCTGATCAAGAGAGGGTGATTTCCGAGTCTTCAGCTGGCAAACTCAAGCAAGCATGTGTCCAGAAGTTGCTGGACGATCTTCAGGTAAGGCAATCTATCTGATCCTAGTTTACCATTGTTTCATAGTTAGCCATCTTAATTCTGCATTCCTACAATACAAACTCTCACGCAAAGGATGTTCGAAAAAATCTCAATTTCATTGTATCGTAAAATAGGGTTTTCGAGTTTCATCGATCCATCTAAACGTTTCTCATAATGTGTAATATGTTGGACTGTTTGATACACGTTAATTCGAAGTTATTTCCGGATGGCTAAGCGTCATGGGGGATATACTCCCTTTTAAGCCATGCAACAGTATTGTGAGCGGTTATTGGATGGTTTTTAAACCCTTTTGGTTAGAAATTGGGTATAGATTTATTTCCACCATTGTGGTCTGGGTATGGATTTTAAAGACGCAACATTTTACTGTCTTGAAAAGTGAGCTTTGATAATTTGAAAGGTACCGTCTCTCATTTGTACGTAAAATCCGTGTCGCAGATTTAAGCAGCTACAATGGAATATTAGGTATCAAAGTGTATACGCACTGCCACGGTCTGCTATGAAATAGAGCATCAAACTTTGGGTTATGTCTAATACGATGTCGGAAAATCATAACTATCTAGCTTGTTTTGGGTAAGGACCACACGGCTCCTGTACGGCAATGATGCTGCAAGCCCACCTCTGTCACAGACCTCACAAAAAAACGTTTTCCCTGGCAAAGCGCCGTTATTGTTGTGAAGTAAAATTTTAGTTGTTGTTGTTGTTTTTTTTTTTTTAGTTCTAGACACACTTGAGTTTGTGCTAAGTCGGCAAGTTTATAATGTTCATTTAGTATAATTGACAGGGAGTTACTCACCATGCATGCCGTTCTATGCGGGTGGTCACCTTTGCGAGTAACGTCGAAGACCTAAACCCGGAAAAATACAGAGACTTCTACCCACGGAGCGATATACTTTGTCTAGTTCAGTTGAGTAATGTAACAGAAGATGACCTTATTTATGCCATATAGGGGATATTTAACTACCGTGAACTGCCGCTTGAAAGCCCTAGGATTAATATATCCAGTCCGGTAGCAGGTTTTAGAAGGGCTAATAAACGCGGAAGGGCTTAAGTCCCGGGAAGGGTTGGAGGGGAGGACGGGGGCGATTGGGATAAGTTGCCGTTTACGTTTAAGGTATGTTGATTGTTCCTCGTTCCTACTTCGCACTCAGTTGTAAAGCCACTCCAAGGCTGTTAAGCTCTAGTTGCAGTTTGGAGAATCGACATGGTTGGGAACTCCTTCCGTAACGCAAACCTTCTAAAGGACGGTTCTTCGGGACAATTTAACTGTAGCTTTGTGTCAGTAGTGCACATACCTCTGTCTCGCAAAGTTCATAATAAATACAACTGAGAAGGGAATGATAAGTGAGTCGTAATCCAGAGAACAACAGATTTCCAATTAGTGCACAAGCGCTAAATGATAGTATGCTCATAAAATATTTCATTGTTTTGTGTTTTCAAAGTACGCGAGAATTACACTGCTAATAAGGAAATGACTGCTAGGTACAGGCACAAGCGTGTGATACAGTGGAGCCAAGTAAAAAAAACATGCACAGAAAATTTATTTGTTTATTTACGTATTTTTTCACTTATCATTTTATTTATATATTTTTTTTCATGGTTTAATTTTTCATACTGAGACTCAATTCACTGACAACTCAGAGTATTCGGAAGCTATAAGTGTATGGAATTTGTTGTCATAGAGTCAGAGGCGCAATTGGCCGGCATGATTATAAAAATAAAAAATAAATATTACCCGCGAAGCACTTAGGAGTTCTTGAGAACTCGTTTGAACGTGTCCGTGCGTTCCAGATTGAATTGGAATTTAGAAGTGTTGGTTTTAGGAGAGGGGAAAACCGGAGTATTCGGAGAGAAATCTCTCGGAGCAAGGAAGAGAACCAACAACTAATGGCGTCGACGCCTGGATTTGAACCCGGGCCATTAGACGAGTGCTCTCACCATTGTCCCACCCTTACTCCCCAGCTATTACTACGCTCCAAAATGGAATGTTGACATTTGAAATATCTAGACATTGCAGCAATTGTTTACTTATCATTGTAAATTGTAACCTTGACCGTTTTGATCAGCTTGGTATATTTAAGAAAAACAAAGTCAAGAAGAATTAACTGAACTGGAGAATTAATTTCCTAACCCAAATAATGAGACCTACACCACGGGTCAAAATATTATTTTCTTAGGTCAGTTTTACGTCAGATGAGTTTTTCCGACCAATTGAACTGAGTTGTAATGCTTTGTTACAGCTTTAAGACGAATTGCCTTTAAACTGACCTAAGCTGGGAATTTCCAAGTCAGAACTATTCAGGGAACAAAATATTCCATTACTTCGATCTCTCGCCCCAAAACCTTCTTTGTTAAGACTGTTTTGTTTCTATTTTATTTATATTCAATAGGACGCGCCTGATACAGAAATTTGCTGTTGCGCTATTTAAGGGAGAATAAACTATACACTGTTGTCAGCTTGACATCATGCCAAGAAAAATACATTTGTGAAAAACAATCAGAGTATGAACCACAATAAGTTCATAAAATTTGAAAATAAAGTTATAGTGATTGAATGTGCAATATTGGATTTAACTCTCACTGTGTACTGTCAGTGATACTAAAGCAGTAGTTAATGGTTTGTGTTTGTCTCAGGTCATTGATGGTGTAGTCAACCGAACTGGGAGACTTGTTTGTATGAGAGGTCAGTAGCTAGAATTAACATATGTACATGCAGTCAAATCCCTCTATAGGAACACACAGTTTTATGGGTACCTTTCTATTACGGGCACTAGTAATGTTTACTCACTATCTCTTTAATTAGTGTTCATTAGTTCTTGGCAGTTTGAGGAGTAACATAGCGAACAAAAGAAGATTAAAAAATTATTTTTATGATTATCATTGTCACAAACCTTCAGTTGAAGCTTGAAAAAACATCCATATAGTTTTTTACGTTCTCGGCTTGATTATAGTAACACTCAGACAAGTAGCTTATAGCACTTTCAGCTGATCCCTATGATCGGTATTTACATTGACAGTTTATATAATTGGATTTCCTCATTGCTCCTCCAGAAAAAAACGAGCCTCACTTGCTCACTTGTATTTTCAGCCCAACACAGGTTAAAAGTTTGCTACGTTACCATTGCTTTTCAGTCTATAAGCGACCATAAGCTGGTAATCTAAGCTTCAATGACTAAAATCGGACTAAATTATTAAAGCAGACTTAAAGCAGAATGATTTTTGATGCGAAACTGTATTCGGAATGCTAACCCACCACTATAATTCTCATTCAGGTCCTCAAGGCCCACCAGGAGTTCCAGGTCCCCGCGGTGCACGAGGTCGCCGTGGTAGAATAGGAGCACCAGGTTACCGCGGTCGCCGTGGTCGCTCAGGCATACCTGGACAAATAGGAGCTCCTGGAATAAGAGGTCCTCAAGGAATCCCAGGAAGGGGCCTTGATGTTAATGTTACGGAAATTGAAAATCTCGTTGAAAGATTGATGAACTACAATCCAGACGAAATAACCATGTTTGGTGAGTAAAACGTAACAAACATAAATATAAATTAACAAGAATTAACGGAGCAGATTATTAATAAGTAAATCAACCATCGTCATGTAGAGTGTTGAGCTAACGTTCAAAGAGCTAGCCCTTCATCAGACGGAATTAAAGGATTGTGAGTGTAATTTAACTGAATGTGTGGTATGGAATGGTGTAGGGGAAAACAGCTATTTTCTTCAACAATCATATTCTGCTTCTTCTTAAGCTGAGTTACGACGTTAATCTTCAGCCGAAAACATTTGAACAAGTGACATGCATATCTGTTTAATTTGACCAACAGCTCCTCCTCGATTTACAAAGAAACCTCCGTCTTCCATTGTCATCAAGGATGGCAGCAATATGACATTCAGTTTTTCAATATCCGGGTACCCAAAACCCAAGGTAACGTGGTCTATGAAAACCAAAACCCAAGAAAACCAAACGCGTTTCAGGGTACTCGCTGACAAGTTTGAGATGAGCGATGTCCGGTTTGAGGACGAGGGAGTAATTACAGGCCGTGCCGAAAATATGTTTGGTATTCAAGTGACCGAAGTAAAAATAACTGTTAAAGGTGAGTAGGCATAAATTAAACGTGTGACACTTGATGCAGACAGTCAGTATATCCTCATGGCTGCGGATTGTTTTTCCTAAGAAATGATGGCGTTTTCAGCACGTTTAGCAAGTTTTGTCCTTTTATGAACTCCTTCGTGATTGTCCAGAGACTTACGACTGCCACTTCTTTAGGCAAGATTTACCCCGGCGCTTCATTTTGTTATTCTACCCTGCAGGTGCGCCGAGGTTCCCCAATTCTCCTCCTGTACAAGTGCATGGCTACTTAGGTAAAGAAACAAGGGTTCAATGTGACCCCCTGGGGAACCCCACCCCTAAGATTGAATGGACCAGAACTCCCTCAGCACCACTCCCTCGAGGACGCAGTGAGGTCAGACAAGACGGACTTTATATTAAAAACACAGAGAGGGAAGACGATGGCATCTACACATGTATCGCGGCCAACGAATTTGGAAGGGTCATTCAAGGGGCATACCTCAAAGTCAACTCATTCAGTAAGTGATAATGTCAAAAGCCCATTAGGTTTTCCTGGATGTATATTCGAATTCATCAATTAAGGGGATTTCCTCAATTATTAGGTTTTAGTTTTGTGCTCTTGCAGGCTTTGTTAATTAACTTTAAGTTCTTTTAAGAGCCATAATTTGTTTTCGTGACTAATCGCCAGAATATGCTTAATGCTTGTTTATCCAAGTTAGACCGGGTTCCGGATAAGTCTTCTTTTTGCTTTTGCTAATTTGCCAGTGGCTAAGCACTTTTGACTGATGATATAAATAATGTTACTTTTTTAGTAAGAGTGTTTATAAACATGGATTTTCCCATTAAATACCAGAATCATATGTAAGAGGATATTTGGCAAAAAATACCAGGCAACAGCCACTGTTCGTATAAGGCTGGATCAGTGCATAAAATTGATGATCTTAATACGCCTACAATATAATAGTCTTAAACACGGCTTACGTACGTTATATCAATACCCAGAACCACCTGCGTTTACCACACCACCACCAGATGCAATAAACGCCTCAGGTATCAGGGAATCGGTACGAGTCAACTGTTCTGCTACAGGTGCTCCTCTACCAAACATCACGTGGTACAAGAATAATGTCACGATACCCTCCTCCTATTATGCCAACTCGGATGATCATGAAGTCACCGGCGAGCTCGTGATTGATCAGTTCCAGCCCTCAGACCAGGCCACGTATACTTGTATTGCTCGTAACATGTACAAGGATGAAGTAAAGACAAGTACAAAGATAGGTACTATGCTCATCCAATTAACATTATCTTCATTTAAGTCTCTGGCGAAACTTGCAATATTGCTACTCGGCTTACGTTTAATACTTCCTTGAACAACAGTTGAAGAGGATTTTGTTTGTCATTGTCATTTATATGTAAACAACCCTTGAAATGAGCACCACCATAGAAAAGTAGAATGGAAAAAGATGTCTTCATCACAGTTTCAGACAGGTTCCGTGGGAAAAATTTGCATTTTGAAGTAATAGATATATACAATGGGGAATTTTTTTGGTGCCAAAACCGACAAAGCATGCATTTGTTCTGTCCTTCTTAACTGCCAAAATCCTTACACTGACTTAAAGTACAAAAGATAGGTTCAAGAGAAAAACTAACCTCTTGGAGCGAAGGCGATCAGCAAAACTAAAATCAACCCACGTATGGCTTCACTTCCGTGATTCGAAAACGAGCGAGATTGATGGAGAAAGAGGTGTTTTACCACTGTTAGGCATGACTCCATATTTAGCACTGCTAATCTTAAGCAGCTTGTACTAGATCAGAACCAATTTGACTGTCGTGACTGTTTTCTAGACTTAACCAGCTGCGGTGACCCAGGCAAACCAAACAATTCAGCTGTTGTTATTCAGAGCGAGAACCATTGGGCAGGGCAATATGTCTGGTACTTCTGTAATCCAGGATACACTATGATTGGTCCAGCTATCAAAAGATGTTTCCCAAGTGGGAATTGGACTGGATATACACCAAGATGTGAGTGATAGTTAGAATATGAGCGGCGATCTGCACTATGAGCCCTCAATACGTCAAGCTTGTGAAAATGATCTTCAGGTCTTCCTACAATTTGAGCTATTGTAGAGCAATTTTCAATTTTGAGTGGTGAAAGTAATCCAGGATTGAATTGGATTTGCTTTACTGTGCTGTTTGATTGGACTAGAAAACTCGCGCCACCCTCTCAGCCAATCAGATGTAAACTAAAACCAATCGCTCCTTGGTCACTCGCGTTTTCCCGCGCTACAGGCCGGTTACACGCGTTTACTTTGAGTTGTCATTGGCTCCCTCTGATAATTTCCTTTACTCTGATTAGCCGTTGTGATTACTTTGGTTTTGGTTTTCGACACTCAATTGAAAAGCGCTCTATCTGTTAGTGAGTAAATTCAGTAAGCAAAAAGATAATTCTGCATCAAGATATAGACACTCATAACATAATATTTCTTTTTGTATTGTTCAGACAAAACACGATTTTGCGAGTGGTCAATATGTCAGTCTTCGGCTATGTGACCATGGTAACCAGAGATTTCCGGACATCCCTGAGTTAGCTATGTGGGGGTGACTTAATTTGCGGGTCCAGAGCCTCGATATACTTAGCAATTATTCCAAGAGTGCGTGTTCCATATGAGTTGGCTATAATCATCTCATATCTAACAAGCGCGAGTGGATATAATTGTTGTATTAATAAAATTTCTAAAACAACCGATTTTCAGCTCGCTTTTGATTTTGACTCCACGCGTACAGTTACCATATTTGGAGAGCCTGGTATAATTAACAATTATTCGCCGAAGGCGAAGTTAATATTGCTGAATAATCTCCGAGACCAAGTCAAGGGGATTATTCAACAATATTAACTGAGTCTGAGGTGAATAATTGTTTTAGTATATTCACACGAAGTGATCTCAACAGAACCAGAGAGGAAACCATTAAAAAAACCGGTTAGTTTGATTGACGGGTGAATTCATGCGTGAACACGAAGCCGTTAACAGTGGATGCCCAAAAGTTAGATCTTTACAGTATCTTCAATCATGGCAAATGATAGTTTTTATCTTTTTGTATCGAGTTTTGTAAGCTTTAGCATCAACGGTTTAAAAGAAAACCCCGAAAATTGAAATTACTACCCAATTCTGAGAAGAAAAGTAGAGGTTTGTTTGTTTCTGTCAACTCACCGTGAATGAGAAAGTTTTCGTTGTCGCTTCTTGCAAATGCTATCAACACCGGCTACGATCAAGGTGAGCATTGTTTATCTCCAAATTTCTTTGCCTATAGTTAACTTGCTGGCACGTATAATTTTCGAAAATATTTGCTTTCCTCTTTTGTCCATAAATTAACTTCCATTTATAGGGAAAATTGGCCTTGCGAGAAAATCCCGAAATCACAAAACAGCGACAAAGCGACCTCGTTTTCCTCTGTAGTGGTAAACATAGCTTCGAGCATGCAAAAAGTCAGCCACAGTAAACCACTTCACAATAAATCACGCTGTTTAAACACCATGAAGTCTTTTCTTGCCTTCAAAGCCATCAGCACTTGGATATTCGTGTATTTTCAAAAAGGCTTTACTATGAACCTTTGGCAAAACACCCAGTTCACGACAGCAATTTTGTTCGGCTTTATATTCACCGCCTAGCCAAGCGCGGCGAATATAACGACATAGTCCGAGATAACTAACCAATCAGATTGCTTGAATTACCAAGATCACTGAGTGTGTATATATACTAATAACTCACATACCATGATGGCTAAAGCAGTCTGAGCTCCAGAATTGCGTTATCCAATGATTCAGTTTTTAATAATGTAAATATGCTATCACAATATTTGCCTACAAGAACTAAAAATTATTAGACAAAATACTTGATGAGATAGCTCCATAAAGCAAGGGTGAAAATTTTGTTGTTTGTTTATTACTCTCTTTTTGTTCAGGAGCACGTTGACAATTGTTCGCGGAGTGCAAAGTATTCTACGATGTTTGTCTTAACCTCCTGAGTGCCCTGAAGAATGACTTCTTTTTATTCAGTAACAAAAGTCAAGTTAAAATGACCATCTTGAGATGATGTGGACCAATGAAATGGATAGAACCGAATATAACGTTTTTACTTATGCAAAATGGATAAGACAGTTTACTATTCATTTATTCCATTTTATAGGTACTGATAAGCCGGAATGTGAGCGATACTGGACCATAGATGACCCGACAAGATATTATGGTTTTAGGTCAGGGCAAACAAAGAGCGATTACTATCTTCCTGAGGGATGGTACAGATTTATAACAGGCAAACAACTGTCCGCAAGTTGCAGATATTCGTCGTCGACCGGCTATTGTGATGCTTCAAATCAGGGATCATTTCAGGGAAGTCATCCTTCGGTTGAGGACGGGGTGGTATCCCGGAAAGTGTGTTTCGGTTATTATCAAAGTGGTTTTAGTTACGGCAATCGGAGACAAAACACCTGTTGTAAGCAAAGTACATATATAAAGGTTCGCAACTGTGGTTCTTTTTATGTCTACAAACTGAAGCCTACACCATATAATAGCCGTTACTGTACGCAATATTAAGTAGGCTCAATTAAGGAAATAAATATAGTCCATTGACACCACACTAGCCATTTATTAGATTTAGTGTTTTAACGTGCTAAAATATATGAAGTTCAGTAAATTAAGACATTTAATTTCAGAGAACGCCAGCCTTGCTGCGTTACAGTCGCTATAAAGGGCAAGTGTTTTGATAGAAGATTTATATGTTTTTTACGGTAATTTCTTAAGATCATTAAAACTAAACGTAGAATAAAAAATATATATATATTTTGGGGTTGTAAAATGTTTCTTAAACGTCTCTGGTCACTGTAGTTTAATATTCATCTCACCCCGGATAAATAATTTTGGGGGCTTTTCGCGGGAATAAAATGTTCTTAATTGACAAATACGGCTGATTGACGTAAAGAAAAGCAAGTATTGCAGCAGCCTTCAGTAGATTGTTACAAGAGGAAGTACTTCTCAGCACTGATCCAAAGCGGCTTTTAACAGTTCTGATTGGATAAGCTAGTTCGGGAGAACAATAGAACTTGTTTGCAGGACAACATTGCATTCATGCATAAATTGCTATTGCCCACAAGGCTCTTCTTGATAGTTTTAAAAGCCAACCAAAGTCTTGGCTCATTTTTTGCGCGTATCTTAAGTTTAAACACGCATACATGTGTTGTGTGCCTTGATGTATGAAGTAAGGTGGATCTCAAAGAATCCTTCTTCGACCACGGCTACACTACATTGTCAGTATACAAGAAGAACTGCTGTACCAAGGGTAATGAGCGTTCAGACTGTATCGTCAAACTGACAAGTGCACAATAGCCCTCGAGCAGGGGAGGCTAACTTTGGGCAAGCTATATATCGCCTCTAGAAAGGTCACCCCAGGACAACCGAGATGGAATTTGATTTGTACAGTGCCCAGGCCTCATGTGCCAGGGGCACCCAACGACAATCTTCGGAAGAATATCTGTTCGGAAGACGATTTGAGGTCTAGAATTTTCGAAACATTTTGTTGCAAAATTTCTTGCTTGCCTGCCTCTCCTAGGATTTTCGAACATCTAAAAAATTGTATAATTGCTCATTTTTAACGGCTTTTTACCCTACAAAGGTCACCTAGAATTTTGGGGGGCCTCTTTTCTGGCTGAAATTTTCGAAAAGGTCAGTTTTGATCCCTATAATTTTCAGATCACTAGACTTTCAGCTAGGAAATCCGAACAGATGAAAAATTTTTAGGGGATAAAAATATGCCTATATCTACCGTTTAAATACTAAATACGTTTAACAATGATATGTTTAAGTGGTTTTGAACTATATTCTCGTTGGGTGCCCCTGATGTGCTTGGCTGCACGTTGATCTGGCCCGGCCTCCGTCTTCGGCGCGTCGACCTTAATTCGGCCCTTTTGGATATCCTTCGAGTTTGTCAAAGTCTGCTGGATTTCTAGCTGGGAAAGTTTCATAATGGCTTCTCTATCTTATGCTATCCTATTTGTACGATCCTAGCATGTTAATACTTACCGTTGGAGTGTGAATTTCGTGGAAAAGATGAGTTGGAAAGGGAGCATGGCGGGCGAGATGCCATCTCGTACCTCCTGCCTTGTGTATTATATCGTGTGGAGGATGAATTTAAGCAAATTAGTATAGGCAATAGCATGATTTGTAGTAGTCTGCTACACAGCCGTTTTTAGTGTCGTCACGCAATGCTCCTCCCCACTAACGGCTGCTGAAAACCGAACTACATTCCTTTCCCATGATTAGCCAATTATAATTCAGCTCCCATTTTCTGGAAAGTGTTCGCGCCACGTTTGCGGTACTGTGACTCCTCCAATCACAACTTTGCTTTTATCGGAGCCCTATGTATGAATGACAGAATAATCAAAACAAGCAATTAACTACAGTAGTGTTGTCGTAGTCGAGTCCTATTCAAAATTTAGGAGATAAGCAGCAGCAGAAAGGAAGTCGAGCAAATTGTGATGCACAACATGGATGTGCTCATAAAGTTGCCAGGTATAGTTTCGGGAAATCGCTCATCGATAATTCGTAAGATTGCTTTTTGAATCAGTTCCCTTGAGAGATCAGTCTTCACAGAACACAATGAGCACATCCGGCACATTAAATCTTCATTACATATCAGTCCGGGATATCAGTACATATGCACGTTAAATGAAGAACCAACTGATCCCGGTAAAAGTCTTTCTACACCTACCAAAACTTTTCTTCACTGGGAACTTTCTTGACCGCTTAAAACAAACTTTTTTGCAAATCAACCTTTTCGTTGCTTGATAACACAGAGTCCGTCTAAATTCAGCGACGATTGATTGATTTGTCGAAAACTGAGAAGCGTGCTCGCTTCCTAGCGCCCTGCGGCTCACGTAATGTCAAGTCTCTTATACATGATTGGCTTGTTCGTTAGACCACAAACACAAAGGGAAAGGAATGTAGTTCGGTTTTCAGCAGCCGTTTGTGGGGAGGAGCGTTGCGTGACGACACTAAAAACGGCTGTGTAGCAGACTAGATTTGTAGTGATATTTGGCATAAATGCCACAAGTGATATTTCGAAATTGTTGTACGTAACTTCACGAGCCGTTAGGCGAGTGAAATTTGAGACAATTTTGAAATACCTCTTGAGGTATTTATGCCAAATATCACGTACAAACCATGCTATTACTTGTTTATACTACTACACGCAAAAGGTTTGTTATTTTCACATGTAAGGTATTTCAAATTAAGCTGAAATACCACTGCTCTAAGCCAATCAAATTGCAGAAATTTTTCATGTAGTACTATAATCACGAAAATTCGTTTGAGCATTAAGGACAACAACAAGTAACTGCAGAGTAAGTTTCATTGACCTTTATTTAGTATATCCTACAAATTTTAGGAATGTATTTTTACCCCATACAAACACTGCAATTTTACTGGAACCGGACTGTGGTACTATGAGAACCAAACAATTTACCCAACAAAAACGTAGAGACCCTGCAAATTCCCCCAAACTTGCTTCAACGTTGACAAAATTGACGCGTTCAGGAGCCCATGACTTGAGTCCCTGACGCGTTATATACGTAGAGCCTCATGGCTGATCCTAAAAGAAAACTCCTGCTACAGTCTATACTATCGTCTACCCGAAAAAACTGGCCACGATATAGAACAAGAATGGTACCATCAATTCCTAGGCGAAAACTGTCCAGATATCAAGTCTCTAGTAAGTTTGCGAACAGAACTAAATAATGAAAAACATCCAGTTAGCTATTAGGTCCTTCAAGAAGACAGCTTAGCGTTGCACGTGCGAACTCTTAGCCGTGAATAGTGCTTTGAAAAAATTGGCCAATGCTATGGATCGTACTAGCCTGCTAAAGACAAGGCCGTAAAGTTCTACCCTGGAATACAATGTATCTTAGAGCTTGCTGATCTTGGCAACTTGACTACACAACTGCTTCGTTGAAAAAAGAACTGCCATGAAAGAGTTACATTTTTTTAACTGATAACTAGCCTCACGTTCCATTAACTACATTTTACTGGCGTGATAGTAAAATTGCTTTTGTCGATTTAGGTAATTATTGGTTTGGTAATAATAAGCGGGTCCAGAAACACAGAAACACTATTCAAAGGTCTGTTTTTTGTTTTGTTTTGTTTTTGTTGTTGTTGTTTTTTTCTATCCAACTGCGTTATGCCCCATGCCGATCTAAGGCCTTTTTTTTAGAGGTAAAGATTGAAGAGAGTCTTAGTAGATAAAACCGCCAAAATTAACTTAAAACTCCTTAGGGTTCAAAAAGAGGTAATGGCCTGTGCCGAACGGAAAGAAAACTTCATAACTTTCAAGTGGGAACCTAAATTGAACCATATCCGACAGGCAATTGGAAATACAATCTGAAACAGCAGAGAGCATGTGACCGCTATGTGATACGATGGCTTGGACCTTTCAAACACATTCTATACTGCATGATACAATTGCACTTGCATGGTGTCTGAGAGAATATTATTCAGAGTTCTTGATTATTGGGTGTTTTTTGATGTTGCGAAAACAAATGTTGGTTTGCTTTTTGTTGTTTTTGTTTGTTTGTTTGTGTGCTTTCAATCTTTTGTATTATGCGTCATTTGGAGCCGATTGCATCATTCCACAACACCACGAAACTACCAGATCATTACTGACAGAACTTAAGTATAGCGTCAATTCTACAAAAACATCTGATGGTAAACTGAAGTGCATAGCTGTCTTTTATAAGAATTCTCTATTGTTTCAGTTAAACGCGACGGTAAAAACCGAATCTTTGCTAAAACGATAGGGCTCTATAATACGTATAATACTCCACGATCAAGTATAATCCGAGTTTGCATGCAAAGGACGAAACTTTTTCGAAAACTGCAGCTCAAGCTAAGAAATACACGGACAGGTTTTTTCGTGTTATCCGAAAAGTGCTACCTATTTTAAACTCTTTTTCTAGGGGGCTTTTCCCGATAGCAAGGAAGAGCCTAGAACTGCAAAGCCCATGCTATCAAATGGCAAAAAGATTACTGAATAGCAACTGAGATCAAAGTATCCCGGTCCATCAATTCCACGATGAAAGCTAAGAGAGTTGGCCCTAAAGTTCATATTCTAGTAAAATAATCCTTAAAAAATAAATCATAAAAAAAAAATAACAAAAAAACGAGCGGTTAATTAAGCGAAAGCCGGCTTGACCTCACAAGAAGCAATTTTAAAATATCTTTTACTGAAAATTTAGAATAAAGGGTAAAAATGTTGCATAGAAATAACTACTTCTTAATTGGTAGGGAATTGAAAAATTGAATCCTGGGTAGTTTGATGATATAAAAGTTGGACTGAAAATCTCAATCACGTGCAGCCATTTACCACTTGATGAACAAGACTAAGAAAAACTACTAGGATTTCATTACGCTGTCATTTTAATATATTAAGCACGTTCTAATGCCGTCGCTAGTCGATCTCACTGGTGCAAGTATGGCGTCAGGTCGCGATTCACCGAACCTCTCCTCTGTTGTGTCAGGCCTTCATCTGATTTTTACACTCACATCAGTCGCTTTTTTTTTGGAGAATGAACTTTCCGTAATTCGAAGAGAAGTGCCTTTTAGTACTGCCAAAGAGTCAACTGTCATCAAAGCAACTCCACCTAACATCGTTCAAAGCAGCGAAGAGCAAAGGAGTGGACGGAACCGCCGAGCCGGAAAGAGGAAATCCGAATCGTCATCAGTAACCGCCAAGCTCAAAGCAGTATGCTCAACAGTCTTCAGGTTTGTAACGTATCTCTGTTGTTTTAAACACTTGACTGAGACAGCCAAAGATAATCCAAATCGCGAACTAAGGTTCATTAATTGCCGGACGTCACTTTATTATAACAAATATCCATCCTCTGAGTCATTTATGCTATTTTATGTTGATTACCTATAAATACCTTAGTTAAATTCACCCAATATATTAGGCGACGATAAATTAATTAATGATTGAATCTGTTATCGACCAACTACAGAGGGAGGTTTTGCAACTGTAATTGTACCAATCAACCATTTGTCTCGGGGAAGCTCTGTCGATTAAGCCCTCTTCACACTGCAGCTGTCGTTACACAAGAAAGCACTTCAACTTACTGACTTAATCCGTATTTCAGAACTCTCGACTGAATCTTTTTATCTTTGACTAGATCGTTCAAGCTCTATTTATCTTTTCTGAACCTGAAGCTGCCAATATCTCAGTTCACTTCATAGTCGTAGTAAAATCTCACTGGTTGAAATCTGAGTAACTTCTACTTGCCAAATTATAGAACGTGACGTATCCGTCCATGGTGTAACAAGGAAACCAACTTACAATGCCAAAAAATATGAATATTGAAAACAAAAAAGTTAGAGACATATACAAATTAAAAGAGACTTTTTATCCGGATTACAACTATATTAAAAAATCATATGGCGAGCTTTTAATGCTTTAAAAAGTATAACAAACCTTGTCTCGGACTTGTCAGTTCCCATTAAGAACTTATTTAATTAGAGTTGTCGTTTGGAGCCTGCTTAGCCGGTCCCGCCACCAGTCAATTCCAAAACCGAACAATTGTTAAACACCCAACCCCCTCCCCATCCCAACCGCGCATTCAATTAACAATTTCGTAATTCTTTCGATTTCCGCATTCAGCATGTGGACTGCGTTCACTTGTCATTGCACCTATTTATTTACTGTTTTGTTGGCGGAGCATTTGAGAGCCTTTGAAATGAGGGCTTTCGGGATTGAACACTTTCATTGAAATGAACAAACCTCCGTAAGATATATATATATATACCTTACCGATCATCGCGAGACTTTAGATACTTCGGTCGTGTTTAGTAGGATATACATTTGAATAAACGGCTTTCGAGGAATGGGAAAATTGTTGAAAAGCCATCTGTGGTGGGGGACTTGACGTGTTATAAAGCGCTAGCCACAACCTTCTCCTCTCCTCTGCAAATGTCTTTTCTCTAGTTAGGGTTCGATAAACTACTGGCTTAACAGCGATACTTTTGGAAGATTGATGCGGGAATAGAGAGCTGACGTCAGTTTGACATTAAGCTTTAAAAAAGTACCTTTACAGAATCAGCCTATTTCATGTTTTTCCTTTTACAATTAAAGGTTGCCGATGACGTGGTTAATGGAACTGGAAAAGTCGTATGTATGAAAGGTCAGTGTCATAATAGGCTTAATATAGAGTTTCATACTCTCTTGGTTCAATATCATGCTTTTTTTTCCCAGTTCGGCTATTTAACAATTACTTTGAGCTACTTTGCTTAGTTGATCGAATGACGTACTGGCTTAAACTTAGTCTTTTACTTAACTAATTGATTTATTGGATATCACCAAAACTTCCATTTCAAAAAGAGCAAATAACATTAACATATAGAGAAAGAAAATAAGTATCATATGTTACTAGAAAATAAACTTGAAACATGACTTCATACCAATCAATAGGTGCAGTGCGTTGTGTAGCATCATGATAATGTAATGCAAAAAAAGTCACAACACCATGGTATAAAACTGTATAGCCAAGGCATAATCGACCTTTTTTTCTTTTTTACGACGAGCAAAAGTAGTTTAGAATAAAACGAGTTGAAATCTTCAGCAACCAGTCTGATTAGATTTGATTGTAAATTGGCATAGCGATATTCGCTGGGCAGATATTAATATGATTACTAATTTTATGGCTAGTCGAGTATGAACAGTGCAATCCGTGGTATTCTAAGACGTTTTTCCTTGCTTTCTTGTTATGATTATAAACGGACGTTTGAGTACTGAGCGCACATTTAAAAAATATATGGTGTTACAAGTGCTTTTTTTTTCGTGAGGCTTAATAATCCCGGGAAATCAAGAGGTTATAGATTTCGTTTATGTTCCATGTTTTTACTCAACCTATATATTAAACTACAACCCTTGTCAAAACTCTTGGATCAACAAGGCGCCGTAGCTCGTCAAATTGAGGCATCTTTCCTCCCCCTTCCCCCCGGTGCAGTGTTGACGTTATGCAATCAAGTTTTTAATTCCACATAATCAACACTGCTTGGGGGAGAGAGGGACAGCGGAAATAGGAGAGGTACAATATGTCTGAGTTAATTTAGCAAAGTGCGTCTTTGTGCCTGATTTCCTCAGCCGGTACATTCGGTGTGCTCGGTACAGTCGGTACAGCCGGTACACTCGGTACACAGTGTTCATGATATTAAGTTCTTGGCCGTTTGAGGAGTATTTTAGCGAACAAAAGAAGATTAAAAAATTATTTATATGATTACCATTGTCACAAACCTTCAGTTGAAGCTTGAAACAACATCCATATAGCTTTTACGTTCTCGGCGTGATTATAATAACACTCAGACAAGTAGCTTATAGCACTTTTAGCTGATCCCTATGATCGGTATTTACATTGACAGTATATATAATTGGATTTCCTCATTGCTCCTCCCCAAAAAGTCGAGCCTCACCTGCTCCCGTGTATTTTCAGTCCAACACAGGTTAAAATTTTGCTATGTTACCATAGCGTTTCAGTCTATAAGCGACCATAAGCTGGTAATCTAAGCTTCAATGGCTAAATTCGGACTAAATTATTGAAGCAGACTTAAGGTGATTCCATAGTAAAAGAACCTAACATAGATTGTAGCTAAAACTTGGTACACTGATGTAACAAGTCAAGAAGATGATAAAAAAGTAATAAAAAGGGGGGTCACCGTGCTCGTTTTGACGTCACAATGCTGACAAATACGGCTATTTAGGACCCTTTAACAAAAACCGCGGGCAGCCCAAAACTAGACAAAAAGGAGAGATTTTTTCGATGATGCATGTGGCATCACACAGAATTTGACTTTAATGTATTGTTTATCCACTTACGTAACAGAAAAATGCCTTTTAATGCCCTTGTTTTTACTTTACGCTCTAAAAGTAGAATTAAATTGGACGCCCGCTTTTCGACCCGTGATGGCTCAATCCGTACAATTTAGTAAAATTGCCAAAAAACTGAACATAGATTTGTGCCAATTTTTTTCTCATCGAAAGGAAGCACTGTCCTTGTTAAAATCATGAAATAAAAAATGGGGGTCACCGTACTCGTTTTTGCGGTAGAGCTGCAGAAAGTGCGCACCAAACGCATTTTCTCCGATTTTTGAGAGAGGACTGGGGCGAGTTTCAAAATAGAATGTATGTGAAAGGGGGAAGAAAGTATTAAAAAATCCGTTTTTACAGAATTTACATCGAGATATCACATTTAGGACACAATGTGATAAAGAAATTGTTTAAATGAAAATCAAAGTGAGTAAGCACAAGTTAAACATCCACTATCGAGGTTCTCCGAGAGGAGGTCGAACTCAGCAACACGCGTACTGCTTACGTTATGCACATTCCCAACACATTGAGTCTCACCTCGGCAAGAAACAACAGCAAGCAAAAATTCCAATAGCGTTTCTCTTCAGTCAACTTCATTTTAATAATATTACTTCACATGCTCTTTTTTACGGCGGCCATCTTGTTATGCGCAGTAAGAGATGCGCAGTGCAAAACTAGGGAATCACCTTAAAGCAAAATGATTTTTGATGCGAAACTGTATTCGGAATGCTATCCCACCCACTATAATTCTCATTCAGGTCCTCAAGGCCCACCAGGAGTTCCAGGTCCCCGCGGTGCACGAGGTCGCCGTTGCAGAATAGGAGCGCCAGGTTACCGCGGTCGCCGTGGTCGCTCAGGCATACCTGGACAAATAGGAGCTCCTGGAATAAGAGGTCCTCAAGGAATCCCAGGAAGGGGCCTTGATGTTAATGTTACGGAAATTGAAAATCTCGTTGAAAGATTGATGAAGTACAATCCAGAAGAAATAACCATGTTTGGTGAGTAAAACGTAACAAACATAAATATAAATTAACAAGAATTAACGGAGCTGATTATTAATAAGTAAATCCACCCTCGTCAAGTAGAGTGTTGAGCTAACGTTCAAAGAGCTAGCCCTTGATCAGAAGGAATTAAAGGATTGTGAGTGTAATTTAATCGTGTGGTTTTTATATGGAATGGTGCAGGGGGAAACAGTTGGTTTCTTCAACAATCATATTCTGCTTCTTCTTAAGCTGGGTTAAGACGTTAATCTTCAGAGCCGAAAACCTTTAAACAAGTGACATGCATATCTGTTTAATTTGACGAACAGCTCCTCCTCGTTTTACAAAGAAACCTCCGTCTTCCATTGTCATCAAGGATGGTAGCAACATGACATTCAGTTTTTCAGTATCCGGGTACCCAAAACCCAAGCTAACGTGGTCTATGAAAACCAAAACCCAAGAAAACCAAACGCGTTTCAGGGTACTCGCTGACAAGTTTGAGATGAGCGATGTCCGCTTTGAGGACGAGGGATTAATTACAAGCCGCGCCGAAAATATGTTTGGTATTCAAGTGACCGAAGTAAAAATAACTGTTAAAGGTGAGTAGGCATAAATTAAGCGTGTGACACTTGATGCAGACAGTCAGTATATCCTCATGGCTGCGGATTGTTTCTCCTAAGAAATGATGGCATTTTCAGCACGTTTAGCACGTTTTGTCCTTTTATGAACTCCTTCGTGATTGTCCAGAGACTTACGACTGCCACTTCTTTAGGCAAGATTTACCCCGGCGCTTCATTTTGTTATTAGGGAGCTTTAGCATCGACGACGGCGACAGCAGCGAAAAGGTCACTTTTAAAATGAATTCGCGTTTTTTCAAACTTTTTCGCGTTTATTCCAATTCACTGAAAATGTGAAATGTGAGCGAATTTCCTTGGAGTTGATTTCTGGGGGACCGGACTCACGCTTAGAAAGAGAAAAGAAAATTTGTCGTCTCTTGTTTACGTTCTCCATAAATCGTGAAAGTAGGCATTTTCGCGTCGACGTAGTCGTGCAGTGACGGCAAAGAAATGTACAAAAAAGTGTGATGCACGTGCAAAGTTGTTGTTTTGCTAATCAAGCCTATTGATTTTTTGCCGTTCTCGTTGCCGTCGCCGTCGTCGTTGCTAAAGCTCCCTATTCTACCCTGCAGGTGCGCCGAGGTTCCCCAATTCTCCTCCTGTACAAGTGCATGGCTACTTAGGTAAAGAAACAAGGATTCAATGTGACCCCCTAGGGGACCCCACCCCCAAGATTGAATGGACCAGAACTCCCTCAGCACCACTCCCTCGAGGACGCAGTGAGGTCAGACAAGACGGACTTTTTTATTAAAAACACAGAGAGTGAAGACGATGGCATCTACACATGTATCGCGGCCAACGAATTTGGAAGGGTCATTCAAGGGGCATACCTCAAAGTCAACTCATTCAGTAAGTGATAATGTCAAAAGCCCGTTAGCTTTTCCTTTATATTCGAACTCATCAAGTAAGAGGATTTCCTTAATTATTAGGTTTTAGTTTTGTGCTCTTGTAGGCTTTGTTAACTTTAAGTTCTTTTAATAGCCATAATGGCTCTTGCAGGCTTTGTTAACTTTAAGTTCTTTTAAGAGCCATAATGGCTCTTGGTACTTTGGTTCTGTCGTCGGGTTTGTTTTCGTGACTAATCGCCAGAATATGCTTGATGCTTGTTTATCCAAGTTAGACCGGGCTAATTTTCCAGTGGCTAAGCACTTTTAACTGATGAAGTAAATAATGTTACTTTTTTAGTAAGAGTGTTTATAAACATGGATTTTCCCATTAAATTTCGGAATTATATGTAAGAGGATATTTGGCAAAACTCAATACCAGGCAACAGCCACTGTTCGTTTAAGGCTGGATCAGTGCATAAAATTGATGATCTTAATACGCCTACAATATAATAGTCTTAAGTACACGGCTTACATACGTTATATCAATACCCAGAACCACCTGCGTTTACCACACCAGGGAATCGGTCCGAGTCAACTGTTCTGCTACAGGTGCTCCTCTACCAAACATCAAACTTTCCATTCAACCGGCTCTGCAAGGTCAAATGCAGGCTGAAATGTAAACCGGAAACGTTGAGACCCGGAAATAGGGAAAACCGGAAATGCGGAAATCCGAATCATCCGGAAATCGGCAAATCTGAAATCAATCAGGAGCCGAGGGCAATTCCAACAATTAGAGACAGCTGCATTCGTTTAGGGCTTCTTTTCGACGTTGAGACACGTAAAAGGTAAAACCTTCCAAACCGGCGTAGCTGTTTGATTTTCACTGAACTGAAACGCAGTTCCACGATCGATTGCGTTTGGCAAATAGGTTCCATAAGAAACAGTAAATATCATTAACCGGTTACAAACATTCTATGTGCGCTAACATATCACACTTGTGACTAATACTTTACAGAAGTTGGCTATATATCGAAACTGAATGCGTCGAGATCTAGGAAACCGAGCCAGCTCGGTTGTCTGGGCTTATTAGTATAGACGGTCCTTGATAGTCGCTTGTTAAGAGCGGATAAATAGTCCCGGCCGGTGAGTAAGTTCACAAGAAACCGATCAGGGAGGGGAAGGCTTGAGTGAATGGGAGAAAGCCTTCTTCAAATTTTACTGATCCTCTTCCTGAATCTTCTCCCATCCCTCTGACTCTTTTTCCAACAGGAACTAGATTTTCCTCCTCCGTCTCCTCCCAAACTTTACCTAATTCATTACTGGCACTGACTAAAAGATTGACCAATATTTCATTCAAACTTCTAGTAAATGCGCTTTTGAAACTGCTGGTATGCGGCCATATTTGAATCCCATGCTGAAACTACCGTAAAATTCCGAAAATAAGTCCCTCCATGTATAAGCTCCCCCAAACTCGTAACACAAAAAACCCTCCGTGAAATCGCCCCTCCCAAAATAAGCCCCCCGGGGTCTTGTACTTGGAAAATTGCCCTCAAATACAAAGTAAAACAAAGCAAAAACGGTTAATTTCTTTCCAGCTATAAGCTAGCCCAATCGATTTTGAAACGCAAACTTCCCTCCTTACATAAGCTCCTACGAATATAAGCCCGTCCAAAAATAAGCCCCTCATAAAGGGCCTTTGAAAAATATAAGACCCGGGGCTTATTCTCGGAATTTTACGGTATGTCACGTTTCGAGATAAATAGCTGGGTAAGAAAGAAAACAAAACAAATGTCCGGAGGTGAGACTTGTCCGAGAATGAAAACATCATCTTTAAGCAGATTTCGTTTTGGGTCAGAAAACCAAATTTATCGACAAATGTAGGATTATTTTTTCGACCATTTAACGGTGTTTTGTAGCTAATCTTAAAACAAAGTGTCTTAGCGCCTTTCTTGGCCATATTGCATCGGATTTTTGGTCTACAAAAAGGGTCGCCCCTAGGACTTGCCAATAGTGTTACCATTCGGTGTTAATATTGGTCTTAAGGACTAAACACGCATACAGAATTAAATCCTTTCTTAAAGCTACTCTAGATTAAATGGGAGTTTCTTGTAACCATACCCTATAATCCAAATGACTTTCCTCTGCTCTTCTCCCTTTATCCGCTATCCAAGTTATCCGTGAATCAAAAAAATGACTCAGTTAAGATTGAGGCCCATTTTTGGAGAATTTCTGGATGATTCTTCGAATGTTTTTAACGTATAAAAATTAGGGAGGATGTTAAAAATGTTGGAAAAGTTGGTAGATATTGGATTTGGGGGTTGTTAGAAATTAAAATATGAAGTGAATAATCAGAAGAAAAATTAATACCAGAGACTCCAACAAGGAGTGCCTCTGAACCCATTAGCGGACTAACTGCGCTTTATGTGCATACCTTTTCTACTCTTATTTATTTCTTTCTCAAATCACCATCATTTTCCCCGAAAAAAAAACAACCAGAATGCCCCCTTAAAAAGCGACTGTTAAGGACCGTCTATACTAATAAGCCCAGACAACCGAGCTGGCTCGGTTTCCTAGATCTCGACGCATTCAGTTTCGATATATAGCCAACTTCTGTAAAGTATTAGTCACAAGTGTGATATGTTAGCGCACATAGAATGTTTGTAACCGGTTAATGATATTTACTGTTTCTTATGGAACCTATTTGCCAAACGCAATCGATCGTGGAACTGCGTTTCAGTTCAGTGAAAATCAAACAGCTACGCCGGTTTGGAAGGTTTTACCTTTTACGTGTCTCAACGTCGAAAAGAAGCCCTAAACGAATGCAGCTGTCTCTAATTGTTGGAATTGCCCTCGGCTCCTGATTGATTTCAGATTTGCCGATTTCCGGATGATCCGGATTTCCGCATTTCCGGTTTTCCCTATTTCCGGGTCTCAACGTTTCCGGTTTACATGTCAACCTGCATTTGACCTTGCAGAACCGGTTGAATGGAAAGTTTTTTCGAGGTTGTAGCTCTGAAATCTCAATTTTCTGATCCAAAATGAGACCTGCCTAGTTGATTTTCTGATTCTGGAACAAACTTTCACCTCTGAACGGTTGTTTTACCGAGCTATTTAGCTCGAAACGTGACACAGTTTCACCTGTTTGGAGCTTCGGATTGTTAGCATGGGATTCAAAAATGGCCGCATACCAGCAGTTTCTAAAGCACATTTAGTGGAATTTTATGGAGTCCGGCATCTCAGGGATTGGAATATGGCTCAATTTGCGAGTCAGTGCCAGTAATGAATTAGGTAAGCCGTACTTTTGACAAAATCTGCTTGAGGTAGATGCGTTACGCTAAATCTGAAAATATCGTATTAGCTCGCATACGCGTTGGTACAAACCGTCATAACTTTTAAAATACTGAAATCGTACATGGGGTTTTGTATATTGTTGATAACAGATGGTCTATCTTTGCGTCTATTTAGTTTAGAGCTTTCAACTATGTCCCAAAAGTCAGAAATAAGCTTTTAAAACAGGGTAACTTTTGGCCTTCCGCTCCAAGCCAATTAGTTGGGGTCATAGTTTGCTTGATTTCGTCTTTCCAGCTAAACTTAGCGGATAACTATTACTTTCAGGAAAAACTAGAGATGTTTACCTTTAAATAGGTATAAAATTCATTGGTAGATGGTGCAAATCAAACATTTCACAGCGCCGCAAAAACTGCCAAATTGTCAGTTTTCAAGACGTGCAAAATGGCCGTGGCGGGACAAAATACTCGGCACCCCCCAGCGCGGCCAGAAAATTATTTTGAATCAAAGCAAACCTATTTTAGTTATAGTCTCGATAAAGCCTTTCACTCGCCAGCGTTTCAGACAAAATTATTTTTCACGCGAAATTGAGTGGGCGGTTTTTACTGAGACAGCCTCTTAAGTCTCTGGCGAAACCTGCACTATTTCTACTTACATTTAATGCTTCCTTGAACAACCATTGGAAGAGGACCTTGTTCGTCATTGTCACTTACATGTAAACAATCCTTGAGATGAGCAGAAGATCAGAGATAACGCTGTTTTTATTTTTCTTTAAAGTCCTCTCCTATCTACCCGTTCCACCATAGAAAGGAAAAAGTTATCTTGATTCATCATAGACTGGTTCTGTGACGGAAATTTACATTTTTGAAATAATAGAGTATATACAACGAGAAATTTTTTTGGTATTTTTTTGTGGTGCCAGAACCGACAAAGCAAGCATTTGTTCTGTCCTTCTTAATCGCCAAAATCTGTAAACCGAATTAAATTACAATAGATACGTTCAAGAGAAAAAACTTGCTCTCGTTAGGCTATGGCCGGAGAACCTTAGCGAACTGATCAGCCCACATATGGCTTCACTCCCGTGAATCGAAACCGAGCGAGATTGATGGAAAAAGAAGTCTTATCACTGAGTCATGACTCCTTTAATTTTTTTTGCATATTTGTCAATCTAAGAAGTTTATACTAGATCAGAACCAGTTTAACTGTCTTGGCTGTTTTTTAGTCTTACCCAGCTGCGGTGACCCAGGCAAACCAAACAATTCAGCTGTTGTTATTCAGAGCCAGAACCACTGGGCAGCGCAATATGTCTGGTACTTTTGTAATCCAGGATACACTATGATTGGTCCAGCTATCAAAAGATGTTTTCCAAGCGGAAATTGGACTGGATATACACCAAGATGTGAGTGATAAATAAAATAAGATTGATGAGCAGCGATCTGTACTATGAGACCCCGCCTATACGTCGAACTTGTAAAACTGATTTCATTTCATGTCTTCCTTGTTAATTTGAGATATTGTTTCTGATTAAATTCAGTAAGAAAAAATTTTACATACTAGACCGTCATAGGGAGGGGTGGGAGGTTTTGAGCCATGTAGCTATGGTAAACAGCGATTTCTGGACAATCAGGTACTTAAAGGGGCTATGTCACCCAACACGCATGCGCGAGCCAATGAAAACAAACTTGAAAAAGACAGCCCAACTTTTTCAAGTTGTGTCGGAGATTTTGGAAGGCTGTTTTTATCTGTCTAAATCTCAGCCATCGTTCGATAGTTAGCGAAGTTTTGCATTAAGAATCATTCTATGGTGATTACAGAACAATTTTTTGGCGTTATTTTTAAAATTGTTTGCCTGTGGAATGTTTTTACGTGGATTTACTGTGTCCTCTTATCAGCGGCCGTTGTAATGGCAGAGTTAATGACGGCTACTCCACAATGAGTGATGGAATCTTTGATGGAATCTTCCCTATAGTTCACAGGACCTTTCTATTGAGTTATTTTAGAGGCTGCTGGCTCTTGGATTTTTCTTGTGCTCAAAGTATGTGGACATATAATGAAGCGGCTATCGAGTTGGCGGCGGCCGTTTTTTGTAAACGATTACAAGAGCATCAGGCCATGAGTTTCGTGACGAAACTAAACTCCTGGCGAAGGAAACATTCTAAAATTCGGCTAGATTCCTTCTTGTATTTATCTCGATTCACGGCAAAGATAAACACGACCGTTTGCTCGTCCAGATTGTTCTCAACGGACTTAGAGAGGCACCTTAGTACGAGTTAGATCCTGTAAATGCCATGTTTTTGAACTGTTTGTGTTGGAGCATAATTTTGGAAAATAGCAGAGTTTGCTTTCCCTTTTTATCAACGGACTGCTTATAGTGGAGTAGTATACCAATGATGCTGGGTTCTGTTTTTCTCGACGTCTCAGTGATTCGGCACGATCGAACAATTTTGCGCGATAATGTATGTTTCCCTAAGATCAAAACAAAGACTTGGTCTCTTGTTCTATCAGCATCTAAATTATAAAATCAATAGCGACAGACAAGTCTAATTGTTAGTGATTTGAAACAGTCTTGGTCTTTATCTTCGGTCTAGCGTCTTTTGTAGCTCGTTTGTAAAATACAACTTCCATTTATTTTGTTGAATAAGACAATATGTTGTTGTTGAATTTTTGTTTGCGCTCTATTTTATGAATGGCATGCGTTTTTACTTCAAAACTACAAGTAAAATTGTCGTCGCAATTTTATTCTTGATCTAGCATAACCAGAGAAGAAACGTTCCATAAATTCTATCGAAATATCCCTTATCTAAACCCATTTCGCTAAACCTCTCTGAAATTCGGAACCTTGGACGTGACAGAGAACATGAAGAAAGTCACGCGTTAAAAACGATAGAATTTTGACAGTTGAAAGTAATTTGCATAACCTCACAGCGCACATGGAGAAAGTCACGCGTTAAAAACAATAGAATTTTGACAGTTGAAAGTAATTTGCATAACCTCAGAGCGCATGCTCTCCAGCTGACATAGCCCCTTTAAGTTATGCATAGTGGTGAATTGCGGATCCAAACCCTCGATAGACTATATATAATCAATTCTACGATAACTTTTTGCCTATAGAAACTAAAATGTGAATGGACAATATACTTGATGAGATGCCTCCACACAGCAAGGGCGAAAGCTGTGTTGTTTGTTTATATCCTTGTTGTTATTCAAGAACATGATGTTCGCGATTCTTGTCTATATAACCTGAGTGTCGATGAGTGCTCTGAACACTGGCTTTTTTTAATTCAACAACAATAGCTTAATTAAGTCTTGTATAAATAACAGCTAAGAAAAGTAATTTAAAATTATCACCTTCAGGTGAATGATGTGGACCAATGACAACTTGAACTCTCGGAACGGTTGAAGTTATTCATTCTTTAGCGAAGGGAGCCTTAAAAGCCATCGCCCGGTCTGAATAGGGTAGAGTTAATATGCAGAATGGATGACTTTTACCATCCTTTCACCCTATTCTTTAGGTACGGATAAGCTGGAATGTGAGCGATATTGGACCATAGATGACCCGACAAGACGTTATGGTGTTAGGTCAGGACAAACCAAGAGCGACAACTATCAACAAATGCAATTTGCACGTATACGTCCGGCTATTGTTTATATGTGATGCTTTAAATGCCGGATCATTGCAAGGAAGTCATCCATCTGTTGAGGAAGGGGTGGTATCTCGGAAAGTGTGTTTCGGTTATTATCAAAGTCGTTACAGATACGGCCAGAAGCAAATTAACACCTGTTGTAAGCAAAGTATATATATAAAGGTTCGCAACTGTGGTTCTTTCTATGTCTACAAACTGAAGCCCACGCCATCTAATAGCCGTTACTGTACGCAATATTAGGGAACTTAAGATAGAGACGTTTTCGGGGCGACGGCAACTTCAACCGGACGTGACATCATCATTTGTTGGATATTGCGCATGCTCGTGCTCACCACCTTGCCGTCGTGGTCCCGTCGGCGACGTGAAACTGGTCTGTTTGGCGTTGTGGCGAAAACGTGAGTATTCAACTTTCATTTCAATCAGGTTTGTTGCGTTTAGCAACCAACATTTTGCAGATTATCGTTCTTAAATTGTCCTTGTTTTCTTTGAGGCACATTTCAAGCTCGATTTCCAAGCTCTGTTATCTAAACTTACATCTTTGAATGTTTCTATGTTTTCATGTCACAGGGTCAAGATCCAACTTGGCAAACAGCCAACCGTAAGTGAGCTTGACATGGGACAAAATTTTCCCACGAGCCAAATAAAAGTGTCCAGACAAAAAATATTAACTCCGATATTTCAATAGTGTGTTTTTAGTTCGCTCTTTTCGTTAGAATATCGTATAAATGAAACGCATTGAAAATTATATAGAATAGTCGGTAATACCTTGTACTAACTCCGCGTGGGAATACTGAAATAAAGTTGTTGCCGTTGTTGTTGTTGTTGCATGCAAGTATTTCCCGGGAATTATTTCAATACCAAACTAAGAATACGGTTCCTTGGTAGCATTTTAATGTTCCTGTAATTTGCAAGGCTTCGGCAAGCCTGTGGAGATCATTTTTTTTCAACACGAAATTCTGCCTTGAACTCAGCTGCATCCCGCATGTTTTTTAGCGTGAACGGATCGTAACTGTCCCGAGGAAAATCGGGATTTTTGGACTCATAACTTTCCCACAAAACGAGAAACTCTTCATCCGATACATGTTGTCTGCATAGCAATATTTATTCTCTTAATTCTTTATGTGAAGCCATATTTTCCTCTTCGGTATTCTTCTAATTAAAGGTGCCGTCCTTCTGAGTTCACTGCGATCTTAATGTTCTATTTTTGACGGGGAGCGACGGCTGCCTTAGTTCCAGGCTTTCTCTGCCAGTCCGGTCGCCGTCGCCCCGAAAACGTCTCCATCTTAAGTTCCCTATTAACTGAGTCCACGGGAGGCGCAAGCTCAGTATTAGAGTTTAGTCATTTAAATACATGTGTATGGTTTCATATTCATGTGTAATCCTTAAAATGGCCGTGAACATAAAGGATTTGTATGAGAATTCAGGTAAAAGATTCAAGAAGATAGACACTCGCTAGAATTTTCAATATAATACACCTTACCTTAATCTTTAATCTTTAATCATTATTTATACACGGTAAAAAAATCACCCGGTACAATAAATTCCAATACAATGACTAATATCCTAAAACCTAAAAATCCTGATCCAAATTTTACGTTAACTTGCAACAATATGCCACTAAAAAACCTGATTTCCATGAGTGCCGTGTTTTTGAAATTTTTGATATGAAAGCGTTTAAATTAATTTAATGAACCAGACTCTCTAATGTTACAGGGTAAGCTGTTCTAAAGGGTTGCGCCGCTGTTAACTAAAACTATTTTTCATGTATTTAGTTAGTTCTTGGAAAGGGGACAACAAGTTTGTTTACCAAGTCCCTCAGAGAATAGTTTGATTCATTTCCCTTTATAAATTTAGACGTGAGATATTCGGGAACCAGACCCTTTAAAGACTTGAAAACCATTAAGACGTTCTGAATTTGACGTTATGATTTCAAGTCTTTCCAGCTAAGTTTGTGAAACAAGGAGTCGACATCTACATCATAGTTTGATGAAGTTATTACTCGTGCAGCACGGTTTTGTTGTAATAATAATAATAATAATAACAATAATAATATTATGGTAGTATTAGGTTTTTATGGCGCATTTAAAGAATTCTCAATGCGCTTTCAATAGTAAATATTAGGTCTAATTAAAACTATATATTATTATAGTAATGATTCCTGAAAAGAAAAGCTTTCAAATGTTGCTTAAAAGTGGAAACAGATTCAGAGTTTTTTATATGATCAGGTAGACTGTTCCAGATTATCGGTGCATAATATGAAAGTGAGCGGTGTCCATAAACCACGGTATTAACAGAAGGAACTTGTAAAAGCAATCTATTAGATGATCGGATTAAACGAGCCGACTGGTATTTGAGAAGGAGTGAAGTCAAATAGTAGGGAGCTAAATGGTTTAATTAACAATTAATGAATGTGGCTGGGTATCTTATGAAGAATTATGGAGATCGAGGAGGGTGTTATCCGTCGAGGCCGTATACGTAGGCCGAGGTGGATAACACCCTCCGAGATCTCCATAATTCTTCATATGATACGAAAGCCGAATTCAATAACTGTTTTATTATTCATTCGAAATTATTCCTAGTTTAAAAACATGGCTAAAACATGCTTACCTCCATCGATCCATCGATGTTAAGTTCATCTTCGATAGTGCACGTTTAGGTTTGTCCAGCTCCGCAAATATTCTCCAAATAGCAGATGTCGTCCTTCGATGTTGTCTTCTTGCTGATCTTGCCATGTTTTTAGCTATTTTTTCGCCTAGTTCTTACTCTTGAAACGAGTGAAATGTCCGCCATTTTTCAAGTTCACAATCAAAACAACTCAACCTCGTCCCCAGGTCTTCTCGGTTAACGGTGCCTTGACCTGGGAAGACGCTGCATTTTTGACGTCATTTCCTCGTTAAACACAAAATTCTTCCAAATTTGGTCATCAGTAACTGGTTATGGTGAATTAAACGTGTGCAAATGAATGATAAACTGTTTTAAACGTTAAAAGCAATATTTTACCTGATAGGATTTTTTTTTGTTGCTGTTTTTGCTTGCTGTGTGGTTATTTTCCCGATCCATTGCGATTTAAGCGATTTTCGAGGATCATTAACTATTACTTAAGAGGTAGAATTATTATTGTGTGCTCAGAATAACTTTTTTTCTGGTTATACCCTGTGGTGTAGACGTCTCTGGTCGATGTATAGTTAAATGTAGATTTCACGGATGATCGATTTTTTTTGAATTTTTTCTTTAACTGATGTTTAACAGCTCTAACTCGTAGTTCGAGGAGGCCTAATCTCTCATAAGCTCCTATATTTTCTGTTAGGTCCACCCGCCACTTTTTTTTCTCTCTTTTCCTTTATTTTTTGTAATTATTGTGTGGCAAATGAAATTAAATATATAAAAAAATATATAAGGGTTTCGCGGGAAAAAATTCTCTTAGCAATAAATTGACAATAACCGAAATAAATAAAAGCATTTATCGCACCTGCCTTTCGTTCAATTTTTTTTCCCAAAAACTTTAGGAAAATGTCATAATGTATGCACTTTCAGCTTATGTAAACAGGAGTCATGAAAATTCCGACGTCCCATTCTCGCGTGAGTTTGTTTTTACGGGAACCTTTTCTTTCCAATTTATTATTTTAATTATTTTTTCTGCATTAGAAGAAAAAAAAAGGAGGCCATCCATATCAGACGCCAGCGTACAGCCCTAAATAGAAATGGGAATTATGAACTTGCCGCGATTTTTAGCCATTTGTTGTCACGTGACTAATTTACTAATTCACGTGACAACAAGTGTTTATCACTATCTTCTCTTGCCCCAGCCGCCCACTTGTAAACTCCCTCGCGAGTCAGATCAGGTGACAAAGTGTACAATTTCTGAGTGGCAGAATACTAACCTGTGTTTGAGCCGGCCCGCGCATCACTTTCTAAACCATTGGTAAAGTGTCCGCAGCGCAGGCAACAGAGTGCCAATCTCAGTGCAATGTAAATTCCATGACCGCATCGCATGAAGAATCAACAGACGAGGAATTTTTAACGAGTTGGCTGAATGTGCCAAGCAATTTCAGTACCCAGAGCAAAATGATTTTTTTGTAAGGCCCAGTTCAAATTAACGTCAATCTTTTCACAGTGTACCGAACGTAATCCCTTTATTGACTAAGGGGATACATGAATTAAGATCGAGTGGTCAACAAAGGAATTTCGACTGTGGATCGAACTTCTCATATGCCGAACCAAATACATAAATTACTATTAAATAATTTATTTTCACTGCAGGTAAGCATAGTAGACCAATGAATTTGGTCCGACTAATTTACTCACCAAGGAGGCCAAACTTGTGTCATTTTGGTAGACCAAATCGGGTATTAGGTCCGGTACATGAAAAGTTGGACATTTGAACTGGGCCTAACGAGGCACCATATGGTAACAATACTGATGTTTCTGGCTACATTGTTTCCCTTTAATTTATAGCATTTTTTTTACAATTACTGAGCGATCGAGTTGCCAGTTTCCGTTCAGACATATCTAGGTAGTGCGTCAGTGTTGCGAGTGTGCGTACGTGATTACCAGCCCTGGCACTCATAAACTATAGAAAAAGCGCAAAAATGTGGAATTAAGCATTGCATTAGAAAAGTGCAGCAAATTTTAGACCATCGGCATGATTTTCTTTGAATCCCAATATCCATGACCCGGTGAGTAATTACAACATCCACGATGGGAATCATTTTGAATGGCACAGCATATCTCGTAACTCCCTATTTTACCACGTGTTGCTAATCAAATCACTGAAAAACCCACCTAGTCCGTTTCCCTTCCCTGATTTCAACTGATAGTCCTGATCTTGGTGCCGATTTAAGCACCAAGGACGGTTGGGTAGAGGTGGAGGGGGGATCGTGAAGATGCCAGGGGGGTACTCGGGATTTCAAGTGACGAGGATGATCGAATGGAGCCAAAAGTCAAGACCCAAAAATTTCCTAGGGCTTCCAGCAAAACCCCAAAAAATCCCTGGACCAAAAATTAACCCCCAAAAAATCCCATGCCGATTTTGTGGCCCTTAAAAGTTCCAGAAAGGGGTAATGGTAAAACACAAAGAAAAACATTGGAAATTGAACACTCGTGTTTGTTTATTCATCATACCATCTGAATATATCCTTTCCCTCATCTGATTCTTTTTGATACCCCCCAAAAATCCCTACTCAAATTAAGCTACCCAAGCCAAATTTTCGTACCCAAAAAAATCCCGGAATCGAAAATTTCAAACCCAAAAAAATCCTTCGATCATCCCCGTCACTTGAAATCCCGAGTACCCCCCCTGGGGTGAAGATACATTTGATACTATACTGAGTCAACAACTGAACACAGTCGGCCCACTCCATTACAGTATGGATTATTTGAATCTAAGGACCTCTTGCCTCTGGGGGGGGGAGTACTCCCTTACATTTATAGGTAACGAATGTGCTGCCCCAATGGGTATGGTTTTTGCGCCTTTTTGGTCTGAAAACGGGTAAAGACTTTGCCTGTTTTTGTCTGAATTAGGGAATGTTTTTAGAGGGAATAAGGGAGTGCATGAACGTATTTGTCGTTTCAGTTCCAAATGAATAAGAAAGAAGGAGTAATATGCGAATCTTTTTGTTCGCGTTCTAATCTAAGTAATGATGACATAATTTCTGCCAACGTTAGGTCTGAAAACGGGCATGGATCGAATTTTGGTTTGAAATATTGTCAAGATTTGGAGAACTAGGCGGCACATCCCCAGCACTAATTCTTAAGAACACCTCCCACGGGTAGTGTACAAGTGTTTATGATCATGCGAGAGATGGATTAGAATGAAAATACAAATCTGTTGGGAATTTGCTTCCATTTATTTCTTACCGAACTTGTAAATAATTGACTTACAATAACTTATTATTGTATGGTCTGGAAAATTTTTTTCTTCAGGTCGTCGATGATGCAATCAATGGAACTGGAAGACTTGTCTGTATGAGAGGTCAGTAAAAATTAATCCAAAAAGCATCCTTGATCGGCGTACTGGTCGACACATCGGTAGAGTGTCTCTGTCTAATGTCGGTCAAGTATCAGTCACTGTGGCTGAGAGTTTCCAGTTCGAAACAGAAACGTTACTCTGAGGTTCCCTTTCAGGTCCTCAAGGCCCACCAGGACAACCAGGTCCACGAGGTCATCGCGGTAAAACAGGACCACCAGGTTTACCCGGTCGTCGTGGCCGTCCAGGAATGCCTGGCAAAAACGGATCTCCTGAGAGGAGAGGTCCTCGAGGGAAACCAGGAAAGGGTTCCCATGTTAATGTTACCGAGATTGAAAACCTTCTGGAAATATTGAAGACATACAGTCCTGAGGATATAACGTTATTTGGTGAGTACAAATCCTTTCGAAAGATATTCGAGATTGCAAATCACTTTCTCTCGCGATCCTTTATTGTAGTAGTTAGTGAGTTAACTTTTTTCTTATGTACACCCGACAGCTCCGCCTCGATTTACAAAGAAACCCCCTTCTTTCATTGTCATTAAGGAGGGTGGTAATATATCATTCAGTTTTTCTACATCCGGGAATCCGGCACCCAAGATCACGTGGTCTATGCAGGGCCGCAGAGAAAGCCCAGCTCGATTCAGGATACTAGATGACAAGTTTGAGATGGACAATGTGCGCTTTGAAAACGAGGGGATTAATCACTTGTCACGCTGAAAATATGTTTGGTGTTGAAGTATCCAAATTGAATCTGACTGTTTTAGGTGAGTCAGTTGTTTATTTCAAAACGTGGCATATCAAGAGTAGGTGACAAACAGGCAATTTAGGAGGAAGACTTACCACAGTTAATTACTGCTTCTTCTTCTTTTCTTTCCTTGTAGCTGTAACTAGCTATTAATGCCCGTAGGCCAGGATGGATCACTGATGAGGAGAGAGGGAGAGGGAGAAAGAGGGGGGGAGGGGGGAATGAGCGCACCGTAGGCCTCAGGTTTGTTAGTCAGATGACTATCTGGAGTTATTCACATATATAAGGACTCTTTTTTTAAGCATCTTCATAGCTCAGTTATGTTTAAACGTGTGGTAAGTTATCGTCTTCCGTCTTTGAATACGTGCTCCTCAATGACTTCACTGAAAAGCGTGTGTTTAACCTTTTTATTGTCTTTTTCCCCTGCAGGAGCGCCAAGGTTTCCCAAGTTCCCTTCAGTAAAATTGTACGGCTTCTTAGGTACAGAAACAAAAGTGGAATGTGACCTATTTGGAAACCCCACCCCTGAAGTTCAATGGAACAGATCTCCCTCGTCTCCTCTCCCTCCGGGACGTAGTCAGGTGAAAAAAGACGGACTTTATATTAACAACACGAAGAAAGAGGACGAGGGCATCTACACGTGTCTTGCGACGAATGAATATGGTATGGTCATCCATGGAACATACCTTATAGTCAAGGCAGTGGGTAAGTAAGAACTAATCAGATTAACTGAAAAGGACCGCAAACGAATATGCCGCAGAACGAAGGATCTCAGAGGAAGACCTGACCAGCAATAAATGTACCAAGTTAAGTCGGACTACGAATGTTCCTTAATAATTTCTCAAGTGCACGTGCTAATATAGAGCTAATACTTTGTCCTTTGGCTTACCACATGGAAACCATCTAAAGCTGTTGTGTTCTCTTTTAATTATATTATAATGAATAATAATGTTGTCAACTTTCGGATTTTTATATAAATTTATCTCTTTTGAAAATGCATGTTGAATAGCACACGAAACTTCAAGTTTAAACAGAAATGCGGAAGTTCACAATTTTCATCAATTTTGATTTACAGCTATTCAAGTTAAGCCGTTTCCGGTGGGGTTGGTAAGACTCCCCAATTCTCTCTTCTACAAGCCACAAGTTAGTAATTGGCTTTAGTTTTGGTACTAGTTCTTGCTACTAACGGGTTGGAAATATGATCTCCACTCAGAACCTCCAGTTTTTACCGTAACACCACCTGAAGCAGTCAACATATCCAGTCTAGGGGAACCAGTCAGAATCAATTGCTCAGCTACAGGCTCCCCTCTGCCCAAAATCACCTGGTACAAGAACAATATTACCCTACCTGCGGACATTTACGTCAACGATGACGAAGTAACTAGCGAGCTCGTGATTGGTCAACGTAAGCCCTCTCTCCAGATCACATATACGTGTGTTGCTCGTAACTTGTACAACGACGAACTAAAGACAAGCACAAAAATAGGTGAGGTGTGCTTTTTAATGCAAGCGTAGTCTTTCCGTCCTCTTCGCCACAATTGGGAGATTTCGGTACCCTACGAGAGGAGGTCCTTTAATTGATTCCTCTCCATAAAAATCAAGGTGCCTTGATGAGAAGATCACAAAACCCCGACTCGCAGGTTTAAGTCAAACAAGAGCTATCATTTGGGGCTACATAAGTCCCCTTGCTCTTGCACTCAATTTATTTTTTCAACATCACAATATCTGGACTAAGGAATTTAATCATAACCATTAGAATTTCCTCAAATTTGACTGGCCGTGCATTAAGGGGGCTCTGCTTTCCCCTAATCATTGTATATATAGGGTTGTAATCGGACAATGTAATGGGACAGTTGGTTGTAATCGTATCGGACACCTGTAATCGGACAGTTACATCAGCCAATCATATTAAGTGCACTCAGATAAATCCACCAATCACAGAAGTTATCACGATAACCATAGCCATAACTACTTACCCTACCAAACCTAGCTTTTTCCAAAATGGATCTGGACGAATTTGTAACACTAGTCAGTGTCTCCGCCAGTGATATTTTGCCTAATTTTGGACATTTGATTCAAATGCTCTTTCACGAAACAGAATACATTTATTTTCTCGGAAATTGTAACTGTTATGATTCATTGGTAACAGGACTTTGTGTCGTCCAATTCGGTCTGTAATCATAACCAAAAATCGGATTTTGTTAATCACTCGTATGACTCCACTCAGTCCTGTTTCCCTTATAAATCAATAAAATTTCCAATATATCATACAACTTAAAAAGAAGTGATCTTTTCATCTAATTTTCTAGCAGTTACCGCCAGAAGCAAATTCCCGGGAACATTCTAGAAATGTATTAATACCCGCTGATCTACAGCTATAGAATTTCTCTATTTACCACTAACGTCTTGACTGCAACCGTTCAAACGTTACTTCAAACCTTTTCTTTCTGTTTTCTAGTTTTACGCGACTGCGGTGACCCGGGAAAACCAGACAATGCAGTTGCTGTAAGCCAGAGCAAGAATTACTGGGCAGGAGAGTATGTCAGGTACCTCTGTAATCCGGGATATGCTATGGTTGGTCCAGCGGTAAGAAGATGCTTGCCCAGCGGCAAATGGAGTGGAAATATACCAACATGTAAGAGTCAAAGTTAAAAAATTAAATATGTAAAACGATGATGATAATAATGATAATGATAATAATAATAATAATAATAATAATAATAATAATAATAATTCCTCGCGAAGCGAGGCGCGGAGCGCCGAGCCGCGAGGTTTATAATCTCGTCGCGCGCGAAGCGCGCGTGTGTCACACAAGCATCGCAAGGCCAGCGTGATTTTCCCTTGGCTATAAATCTATCGACTTTGGTTGGTGTCCGCCTTGACGTCATCCAGAGTAGTGACGTCAAAGCGCATTATGGGTTTCCAGGCAACCGATTGCCATCGACGACAAAGCTCTGGGTTTTATTCGTGAAGACGGGTTTTTTCATCTGTGAATTATAACAATGTTTACGGTCGGTGAGTCACCACCCAATATCTCAGGTAAATAAAAGAGAACAGCAAACTCAACAACGGTGGATTCAACAAGTGGCTGGAAATCCTCGCTGGGAAAGATTTACAAACAAAACTCCGCAAGAGCGAGGACGTCGACTTTAAATTCAGAGAGAGTAACGGCACAGCGAAGGCAAACACTGTCAACTAGAGACAGAGGTTATACAGCGACCACAAAAATGTAAAGAGTTAGCAACAAAATACTACAGTTACCCTTCAAAAGAAGCCGACGAAGAGAAGGAGCACCGACTGCCGACGTTTCAGTATTCGGTCAATAGAATTCGCAAGGAGAGGCAAGTTTACAGTCAAAATTATCTTCTTCGATGCAACGATAGGAAGCAAGAATTACAGCATCTGTAAAATCGACACGAGGAGTATCTTTGCATCGAGGACAGCCGATCAGCCTTTTCACCGTTTTACAGTAAGCTTTATTTTACAATGTACAATTTACAACGCCGATAATGTGTGACATGTAGGGAAGCGTTACATTTTGTAAACAAAATCCTTACTGCGGGCAAACTTTTTCGTTTAAGCTTACAATTTTCAATCAATTTCCTTCACAAGTAAAATATTTATATGTATAGCAGCCTTATTCATAAACCTAGCTGTGTCTTTTAAGTCAAACATGACAAAAATTTGTTATTGCTGGCCCCCTATATTTTTGTTCCTATATTATTCGAGAATAACATCAGTATTTCGGATATCCCCAGAATATTAGTGTGTGACACGGTTGCCATGCCAGGAACGTTAATTCCTTTCGCTGTTAGGGAAAATTTAACAGGTCACTCATAAAATTTCACTCTTTCAAAGAAGTCAGACAGGGGTGACATATTCACAGAAATAAAACATTTGTTCCATTGGCAGATGAAGATTGTTTGAAGAAATTAAACGACATGCAAGCAGATATTTATGTAGGGTTTCCCATAAGATCAATCCATCCTGCACTTAGCTTTACATTCACGATAAATGCATGTAATACAGGGAAAGTGTTCATTTGCCTCGTCTCAGTCTGGGAAATTAAAAATCTATGGCTCTGGCACTGTCTCAACAAGCTCATGCATGTTTAGAATTGAGACCAATGGAGAAACTGATCACCTTCAACATAACTTGTTTGTGGACATTTCATACAAATTCACTCTTGCATAGGGATTTGTTTCTTATGCATGTACACGAATAACTATGAACACTTGCCTAACTGGTAAAAAATTGGTACTTTTTACAAGGATTCAGTTCTTTAAGGTGAATGCCCACACATACAATGATCATAAATCATGATCACTTTAGTAATTCTCATGAACAGCATCCTTAATGACATTGCTACTTGTAATTTTCTATTTCAGTGATTATGTTTGCACTTTACTGTTACAAACAATAGTTGTCAAGTGTGATTATGTACCAAAAAAAGTGCAAGCACTTTTATAGCTGTAGTTCGCCAAACAATAATTTTTTCTCCAATTAGCAGCATGTAGTTGTTGTTTTCACTGCAGCATCATCTCCTAGAATTGCCATCCTCTCACTTCTATGGACACATTTAAAACTGAATATTAGCCGGCAGTTATCCACTATCACCCCCATTTCCTTTTCACCATAATTACACACATTTAAGAGGGTCAAATGGAGTGAACATGGGGGGATGGGACCTATGCAGCATTCGCTAACAACAGCAACCCCATTTAAATCTCAGAAGATCCTTTTGAAAGCCAGAGCACTAGGTTCAAATTTAATCCACAGGAGATTAAGTACATCTTAGCTTCCAATATTAGATCCACCCTCCCCAGTTACATGATTTACTTCATTTCTCTCCTGTCCTCCCACCCCTTATGGGCTCCCCCGAGCTTCGCGAGGTTCTGCGATACACGTATTTCTAGTAATAATAATAATAATGTTAGCATCCCGTCTGTCTCGGGAGACAATGTAATCAGCGCCAAGGTTTAGTCAGTGGTTTAGTTGCAGCACCTTCTTTGGCTGGGGAACAATCCAATTCTGGATCGGCAGGCTCTGTTGCAGTTGTTGCAGATGAATTCCGTGTATGGCTCTTTGGGTACTGATGCTGCCCAAAGCCGTCTGCGCTTCGTTTCTCTCCTCACACGCCTGAAAGCAAGCCTCCGGTGACTTCGGTCTACAGCTACAGCTTCCCAAGCTGCAGGGTTGATATTGCCTGCTTTCAGATCTCGTTTACAAACTTCTATGAAACGACGAGGAGGCCCCCTGCAGGTCTGGTTCCAGTGGCATAGCTCGCCGTAGAGTACGTTCTTAGGGATCCTCCCGTCCTGCATGCAGCTGACATGGCCAAGCCAGCGCAACCGTCTCTGAATGAGCAAGGTGAACGCGGTAGCTACTCCCGCCTGTGCTAGAAAATCATTGTTTGGGATATTCAGGTATTTAACGCCTGGACTGAGTGGTATGAATTATTGAAAATAACTTCGGCTTAGATGGTTGCACTGAATTAAAATTTGGCACACGTGAAGAACTTGTTGTCCTTAACATTTTAAAGTACAAAAAAGTATTGTGTTAATAAGTCACGCGATACGTCACGTGACCATTTTGCTAAAATGGTAAATTATTGACTAATTGGTTGCCGGTTTAAGAAAAGAAATCGAGCAATAACATTTTTCTAATTCATATTAAATATTCTAACACTTCACGTTTGGAATGAGCGTCCAGTGCACTTCAATAAAAAACATATGAGGGAAAACGTCATTTTAAATGCCCAAATTTAATCTTGAATTATACTTCGCGTACATTCATTCCAAACGTAGAAAGTAAGGTAGCTTATCCTCTTTCAGAGATGCCAATTTGTTTATCCACTCAAAGTAAATTCTCCACCAATTCGCCAGTTTTCTTCATTTTCAACGTTAAGGTACAAGAAAACCTCAAGATTTACTTTTGTTGAGAAATCCATTTTGTCCTAGGTCTCCTAGCGAGAGATATTGCTAGTCATTCATATGCTCAGAACACACATTTAACCCAGGCCTTAAATCCCTTGAGATAGCCTTGGCAGCTGATGCCCAAAATCCTTCCGAGACAGCGCTGGTGGATGGTGTGGGGTCTGCGCTTTTGGCGGGAGTAGAGGGTCCAGGTCTCTCCCTAGAGCAACGTAGGACTGGTACACAAAGTCCTCCATCACCTCGAGATTGTAGTCGCCAATGGAGAAGTTTGGGGCCCTGCTAATATCTTGGCCAAGGATGTTGGTCTTCTTGAGACTGTTGGTGAGACCAAACCCGCTCGAAGGAGCTGGTAAGTCGCCTTAAAGCACCCTCAGTGTGCGTGGGCAGTTAGGACAGTGTCGTCTGCAAACAGCAACTCCCTTATCAGTACTTTCCGAACCTTGGTCTTTGCTCGTAGGCGTGCAAGGTTGAAGAGATGCCCATCACTTCTGGTGTGAAGGTACACACCATCCTCTGACTGTCTGAAGGCGTAAGACAGCAATAGAGAGAAAATGACGCCGAAGAGTGTAGGAGCAAGTGCACAGCCCTGTTTACTCTGCTCTTGATTGGGAAGGGGTCTGAGGTTGAGCCATCGTACTGGAATTCATATACATCTATCACATTCACCTCTTTAACCGGGCAGGATTAGCTCTGTCGGTAGAGCGCTTGACTGCAGAACGGGAGGTTCGATTCCCGGGACCGAACCAACACACAAGGTCTTAAAATGACTGAGGAATGAAGGTATTGCTTTGCCTGCAAATGGCTAGACCCTCGCGTGGCTCGGATGACCACGTAAAATGCTGTGTCAGTGACGAAGTTCTCCCTATAGTGTAGCTCTTGGTAGTATTCTGCCAATTTCTTCATCAGGTTGCCCCGGTCTGTAATGAGACGCAGCCAGCAGTCGTTGGCGAGACGGCGAGCGTTCCTTTGGGCATCGACTTCTTGACTTTCCTGAGTGTAGTACGTTAGTGTCTTATCAGAAGGCTCCCTCCTGTAGTCGAGCACTGCTGCTCTCTTGCAAAAGTTGCGATCACTGGCTCGAGCTTTCGGTAATGCCAGCTTCACAGCAGCCTGTAAACAGTTTGTGTTCTGCCTCTTTTTCTTGCCAACGACGTCCATGGCCGAACACGGATATGGTGCCATCTTCCCCAGCGCTTCATGTGGAGAAGTCCCTTAGAACCTCTTCAATGGAGTCGGCGAAGCCCTCATGCAGATCTGGTATTGCTGTCCTAGCCGTGTTGTAACCTGCGATCAGGCGTTTTTACTGTTTTTCGGAAGAAGGACACCTGATCCGAGGTTAGCGCTGTTTTGATGCGTGGGCGTCCTTTTGTGCTAGGGTTGAGGGCGAACCTTCCTACGCATCAGACAGTGGTCGGTGTCGCAGTCAGCGCTGTAGTAGCTGCGCGTACTGAGGACACAGTTAAGAAGGGGTCTTGAAGTGATAATAAGATCCAGCTGGTGCCTGAGGCGGAATCTGATCTGGGGTGACGCAAGGATAGTACATGGTTAGTCTTGGTTGAGACGACGATGTTGGTAAAGGATATTTCCAACCCGCTCATCTGCTAAGAAAGTGTGCGTATGGTACTTAATGCCCTAAATTTCCGAGTTCTAGAAACAATCTCATTTCAAAACGAGGCTATGTACACTACAAAACCTTTCGTTCAAAAAGGAGTTTTGTTTGCGTGAAAGAAAAAAAAATCATTTTTATATCTATGGCCTCGCTCTTAGACTCGCGTCGAATAAAAGTCTTTCATAAGTGACTCAATATTTATTGAAATTCAATTCCCTTCATCGACTTTATTGTTTTGTCGTTTGTTTGTTTTTTCAGGTACAGAAAAACCTGAATGTGAGCCTTACTGGACCATAGATGACAACACCAGACGGAAAAGCTTCACGGCGTCACGAACTAATAAGAATGACTACTATTTGGCTGAAGGATGGTACAGGTTTATATCAGGCAAACAAATGTCCACAAGTTGTAGTTATGGAAACAGCTATTGCGATACTTCATATGCAGGATGGTTGCAGGGAAGCCATCCGTCAGTAAAGGAAGGGGTGGTCTCTCGGAGAGTGTGTTTTGGCAATACTGGTTCACGTGGTTACAGTAGTTACTGTTGTCAATATAGTACATATATAAAGGTGCGAAACTGCGGTTCTTTCTACGTCTACAAACTGAAACCCACGCCAAATCAGAACTGTCGTTATTGTACTGAATACTAA